GGGCAGTGCGGAGGCTGCGGGGCTGGGCAGTGCGGAGGTTGCGGGGCTGGGCAGTGCGGAGGCTGCGGGGCCGAGCAGTGTGGAGGCTGCAGGGCCRGGCAGTGCGGAGGTCGCGGGCCAGCCATGGTGCCACTTGCCCCTCGTGCTGCAGGCACTTGCAGAGTGGCCAGCGGGGGCTGCAGCACCCGGCGTCASCTGCCCATCGGGAATGCCCAGCCGAGCTCAACCTGCCCGGGAAATCACGACCAGCATGAAATGACCTGCTGCCCTGCAGCACAGCGTCAAACACTTACTATTAAATGTAAATACATTATTAAGTAAAAATACACTACTTTATTAGGAATTTGCATGTGTTACATTGGAACAAAAGCTCTTTTTTTTTAAATAGAAGCAAATAAGATTTTCTGCATTAATATAATGAATTCTTTACATGTGAAAAGTAAAACCTGTGAAATAACAAGAAGAAAGGTTTCATCCCAACAGCAATTTAGCAAAGGTCTAATGAYCACTTTGTTTATAATTGCCTATAACTTACTGGGCTAGACTCAGTTCTGCTACCCCAGTATAAATCAGTGGTATATTCAATGCAATTGTTCAATCTAGTCCAAGTGCAAATAATTCCGGTGTAAATATAGAAGAATATAAAATATTCTATAATATTTTATAATATAAAGGAATATAATTTGGCCCTTATTTACCTGAAAGGAATAGTTTTTTGATACAGCAGTGTTATTAGACAATGTGTTTATTTTAATTAGTGGTTCTGCGTTCGTCATTTCCCAGTTGCAGAAGCATCAGGCACGTGGGAGATACCCCCACGGCAGGAGCCAGCCTGGTGGCTGCTCCCCAGGGAGGATTTAGCTAGTTCTGGAAAGGTTCATGGGCCCATAAAGAGGAACCGACTCTCAGTTATCACTGCAGCACACACTGAACAACAGCTCGGAAGCAATAATTTAGCTTGCTCATCATGATGAGACCCACCAGAAAGAGAAGAACASGTGAGAGATTGAGTTGTTCCAAGAACATCAACAGGCTGCTCTTGGAGGAGCTAACGAGAAACCAAGGGCCCGAATGACCGTCCTCCGGCAGCAGGCAGTTGGACTCGTCCTAGCGTTTCACGAGCTATTGCTTTTCCCTTTCCTTTCCTTGATGTGCCTGGCTCTGTGAAACCAGCAGAAGGGCTCGATGCCTCACAGGGGCTGCAAGAAAAACAAGACGCGGCTGCAAACCCTGGGTAGGCACCAGCAGGAGGCCGTGATCTGTCACCCTCCCGCTGGGGCTGCGCTTCCTCACTGTGTTTCCCCAGGTGCCTTTTTGAATCTTTGTCACTTTCTTTTTGTAAATCGTGAGATAGTTTCATACACAGAGGAGTAATAGCCTGTTGCTCTTCAATCCCTTTAAGTACTATGGAATGAAAACCTATTCCATGGGAGTCACAGAAAACATTTTGCTGGGCAAGAATCTGTCAGATGTGTCAGTGGGCAGATCCCTCTCCTCTAAAGAGTAAATACCTTTGGTTGCGTCCTCCTCATTTAGCCTTAATTACACCATGGAAATTAAGAAATGTTATAGCTACTTCTGTGCTTGTTCTAGTGTATTTTCCTCCCCCATAACCACCTTGGTAATCACCTATGAATATTGCGTCTGCTCCGAGGGACATAGTGACAAACTGTGTGATGCATTTGTTGTGGCTCCAGGGACACGCGGGCCGACTGCCTCCTCCCTGTGCCGGTGCTCCCGGATTCKCAGGGTGCATGGGCGGCGCAGGCGGAGCCGACGCAGCAGCCCGGGGTCCCGCGGGAACACGGGGCCCTGCGCAGGGGCCGCTGCACCGGGGCCCCCCGGCTCCYGTCCCCTCCCCGCGTGCGGAGCAGGCGGCTGCGCGGAGGCTCTTCCAGCTCCGCTGCTGCACGCGACCCCGAGGGACGGAGCCGGCCCCAATCCACCCGCAGGAGCGCCTGTCCAGTCTCTGAATCACAGGTAATGCAGAAAATCAGCACAAATTCCAATTTTCTCCTTTGAGCTCTAACCTGGAAAAAGCTAAGAGATTAATACACTAATAAACTCTGATAAACTCTAACACTAATAAACAGATTAATACTTAGAGAAGTGCCCAGGTGGTGAGTAAAGCAATAGAGGTGTCTCTGGGAGAACACCCAGGTGAACACTGCCCTCCACCTCCTCTCTGCTTGTAGGTTAACACAGTATTTCTGATACTGGGCAAGGTTTTACTGTCACCTCAACTGCTGTGATGTGGGCTGCGGGGTCGGCTTGAGTCACTCTCCAGTTGAGAAGCAGATTATAATGACATTTTATGGGGAAAATACAAAGAGCCTTCAGAGACAAATGCTACAGAGGACTTGGGGAAGCTTTTGGCAACAACAGTAAATTGCCTGCTTATAAAAACCTTTCTTGTTTGATGGATCRGTAAATGGTGAAAAGTCTTTAAAATAAGAGCAGGGAAAAGTTATCTGCCCTACAGGATTTCTTCTGCTTCTGCGGTGGCTCTGCCCGCTACTTGGTCTTCAGGAGTGGAAACTTCTCAGCTGAAAACAGCATGACATCAGTGCAGAATTTGTCTTGATTTTCTCACTCCAAAAGGCCTCTTGGGGTCAGCAGGACAAGAGGGGTCTGCGCGTGCGGGGCGGCCACGCTCCCGAGGCAGGAGGCACCACAGCCCCTGCGTGACGGGGCGGCAGCCCGTGGGGAGCGGCGGGGGAACCCAGGGCAACCAGATCTGGACCGCAGCGCAGGGACGGGGCGGGACCGCAGGGTGTCACCCCTCGGCCGGTCGCACGCGGGGACCGAGGGGCAGCTGCCTCAACCCAGCACCGCCCCCGGGATGGGCAGTGCGGGAGCGGGGGTTCGGCGGGAGCAGAGACCTGGCGCGGACAGGCCACGGAGCCCACGGGGACATGCGCCCCGCAGCCCCCACTGCCCCGCAGCCCCCACTGCAGCGCACG